ACAGGAATTTGGCACCCAAGTCAACTTGAACCTCCTGAGGTGAGGACCTAGTCCGTAGAATTAACCTTCCCACATGTTGGAGAGGAATTTCTTTAAAAAAAAGTTTGCTGTAACAATTAGGACCCATACTGTATGCACCACACCATTCAAAGGCAAGACAGTGCCTCCCCTGTGAGTCACAGAATTCGAGAAGGCAGTTGCATGACACACAAAGCACCTGGATTCACTGTTGATTTGGATTCAGTCATGGGGGTGGAGCCTGAGAGTCTGCATTTCTAAGCTCCCTGGAGTTGCTGATGTAGCTGGTCCGTGGATGTACTTTGAGTAGCAAGGCATCTCTCTTCACCCTTGGAAGTCAACTAGCCAATAAAATGAAGCAAAAGGGATGAGCATTTCTTCCTGCAAGAAATTTGGAGACCTGGGTACAATCTGCTCTGTGCTACTATTACCATGATACAGTTGTCAACCCCATGTTGTGGGAGGTTATTGTCTGGCTATCTGGTTAACTATTTTTGGGTCATGCAATATAACAGGCCAATAATAAATATTTTTTTGTGCAGAAATATGACCTTTTGTGTTGCTGCACCATAACCTGGCCTTATCCTAACTAATACAGTGACCTTGAACAGCTCACATCTCCTCTCTAGGCAACAGTTTGTTATTTGTAAAAGGAAGTAGTTGAACTAAAAAATCACTTAAGTTTCTTTCATCTCTGACCTCTCAGGATTCTACATACAGCTTGTCTGACAGCCTCCAGGCAACATTGTTGTGGTCCTGTTATTTGTTCCTCTTGGGATCTTTTCACAAAGCTCAGAAATGATTAAGATATGAGTGTAGATAGCAGCCAGGGGCCATAGAATGAAACAGCTGGCTAAACAGTTGTAAACTATAATCAGGGTGTGTCCTCCAGATGCTCAAACAGTGTTGTCAAGTTTCCAAATAAATGCCCATCATAATTTAGAAGCTAGAGTTTTCTTCTTTTTTTAATGACTTTTACTGGCTGTCAAATTAATTTACAGCGAACACCTAAGGCAAGCCACATTGTTTCATTAGGCTCATGTGAACATTGTGGAAAGTGTTTGTGAAACCCAGCAGCACAGGTAACACGCCATTGAAATACCAGAATCACCAGAACAATTTTTCAGGTGGAGGTACGTTATTATTAAGATCTGTTTTTATAATATTTATGTTTTTCTTGCACTTACTATCACTTTTTTTTTTAACTGAAGAGGGGTAACATAGAGAAAATCTTTTTACAGACTTCCTAGACTTGATTATCTTACAGCAAGAGGCCATGCAGAAATTTTGGAATCAGAGAGACTGAATTACAACCTTGGGTTTCCCATTGTTGATAATGTGACTTAATCTCCGGAGTCTTACTTCCTTGAATTATAAGGGGAAGATAATATTTGCCATACTTCAAAATAGTTTATGGATACATTAGAGTCTGCCTCTGACGTCATTGACAATGGCTCCATGTCTCAGTTGGAAATAGCCATTTTCCTTGGCATTGGAGCCTCATCATCACTGTCGTCATCGTCGTTGTCCGTGGCATCTTGGAAAGGGCTTACACACGTCCTCTGAGGTCCTCACTGGCCCCGACGTCACATCTCGGCGTATCAGATTCTACTGACATCGAACAGCCACAAAGTAAGATTAACCGCCCTAATGCCACACTCTGTCATTTTCAGCATGACTTCACACACAGATATAGCAGGGGCTTTCTCATAAAAGCCAGCTTAGTGAGTTAATCAACCTTCAGGAGGTATTAGAGGACAGAATGGATGTACATTTCAAAGGCGTTTGATCCTAAATCGTTCCGAAGCACGTGTCTGAACAATTTTGTTCTCTATCGCAGTTAAATTGTTGGTCAAAATGTATCGAACCCTTCTGCTTATTCAGGTTCTGGAATAATCCTTACTATCCCCCATCACTTCAACAAACACATCATTCTGTTTGTAAAGCTGTCTGAGAAGGGGAGGAAGAGCATTTCATGAGAGTTGTAAAGATTTAAGACTTTGAATGGTGGTGTTTCCAAGAATTTGAGAGGGATCCCATCCTTTGAACGAATAATTAGGAATCATCTGTGTTTATCATGGGTAAGTTTTAACCAATATGCGCCAAAACAGTTTAATAACAATAACAACAACAACAACAACAATGATAACAATAACAATGATAGTGAACGATTATGGAGTACTTACCCCGTGCCAAACACTGCTTAGGGCTTTACATGGATAAATCATAACTGTTCTATGAGTCCCTGTCTACTGAGACCCACATTTTAAACTGCTGGAAATAGTATAGTGGGCTAGCAAACTTCCTAAGGCCCTTCAGTTGCGAAGTAGAGCGTTGTGCTTCAGACACAGATTGGCTAACCCTACTGTGTGCACTTGCGTTCCTGGGCATACTTCACCTGAAATGCAAGAGGAGATTAGAGATGGAAGCAGGATGTGATGGCCAAAGCCAGGCATCAGGGCTGATGCACAGAACTGATCTGTAATTAAATGATACAGAAGATGGTAACTTTTCATTTTAAAAATAAATAAAGACACTGAAGAATTGGGGCTTCTCTGAATTTTTGAGTCTCTGGACTTTCTGGAGGAAGCAAATAATTTACAGATAATTCATCAGCTCTAAGTTCTTGCTTGTATGTTTATTAACAAGCATCTTTCAGACAATATACATTGCACAAAGAGGGTTGTTTTCGTACTTGATTTGCAGTGTGTTGCTGTGCAGAGTATATTAATGTGTATGCAGTCGGCACTCAATACCTACCTGCTGACTGTGCATCATGTGTAGTTCTTCCTTCTGCCACTGGCCCCTGCTGGTGCTGCTGCTCCCTTGGGGTTTATACTTACTGATGGAGCTCACCTTTAGTGGGTAGCAGGCGCGTTGGAGAATCATTTGGGCCCCAAGTCACGGAATGTCCAATGAGACGGGTGTGTCTCTACCTGCTTCAGAGAGTTGGGAGTGCGTGGATTTCATTGATTCCAGAGCAATTTGTAAGTGATTTATTCTGTGTAGGTTACGTGCCCTTAGAAGCTGGGTCTGAGTCTGGGCCTGAGAGGTAGCCCTCTGTGTTTTCTTGCCACTTTTTTGAGCCAGTGGGCAGAGGTTGTGTCCCTATTTCACATAAAGACTGGGCATTTTTGCTTTCTGTCCTCTAGCAGATAGCTCTGGGCACCCAGGGACTGTGGCTTGGACTTTGTGACCTTTCTGGATATTAAAAATCTATCCCCCGAGCGTGAAATTTGCATTTTGGTCCTGATTGCATCATGCGTCCTTGAGTTTTGTTATCGCCTGACCAGTGTTTGCTTTTCATCCCTTTATTGGATTAAGCTCATTTTATGTATGAAAAAATAATAAATTTTGGTTAGGTTTGATCCAGCAAACTATTTGGTTTGGCTTGGACAAAGAAAATTGTCCTGTCAGCTCAGTCTTCTGTATTGAATAGAAATCCTAATCCGCTGTGTGTAATAAAAGTCTTGCTAGAGATAGCAACGTTAAAATTGTCAGATTTCTTATTAGTTTCATCCAAATCTGTTCTCACAGTGGCTGGGGCTGTGTTAAATCCCTGGATGCAAGCATTGCCCTTGGCCTATCAGATGCCACAGGATACATTGCAAATTCAGTTTATGGGGTCCCCCACTCATGTTCATTGGTTCTTCACCCCTTTGTTCACTCTCTCTCCTGCCTCCATCATGCATTTGCTGCCCCTGCCCCAGCCCGACAGACTCAGGGATTTGCCCCAGGCCTTGTGTTTCTACTCAACATTTTCTATTTCTCCCAAACAGCTTCCAAAATGCCATGTACTGATGGCCCATCACTGCAGCTGCCTTAATTCTCCCTGACCCCAGAACTTTGTTCTTTTCTAGAATAACCCATGGCTTGGGAAAACCTACTCTATTCAGCACTGTACCTTAGACCATCACTACTCAGGATGGGTACTCTCTCCGTGAATCAATATAAGCTGGATTCTGCAGTAGAGCAGAGACAGCGACTTCCAGGAGGAGACACTGGGCATGAAGGGTGAAAGCCCAGAAGTGAATTCCAGACCGTAGTTCAGATGTACAAACCATGCCCAGAATGAATGTTCTAAGGGTAAGATCTCATGTGTATCTTTTTTAAAAAAAGATTTATTTATTTATGCATACAAGAACTGGGGTGCAGGCCAGAAATGCAGGGGTGGGAGGATTCACCAGAGACAGAGTGGGGAACAGAACAGGCAGATCCACTGACATACACTGCTGAGGGGAGCAGTGGGGAGACAGGAGAGGTCTGTTGTGCCCTGTGGTAACTTCCTGGTCAGGCGTGGATTGAACTCATGCTGCAGTGGCTGTGGATAGCTTCATAGTGCTGCGTCTTAACCCACTGCACCACCAGGGAGGCCCTTTGTCTGTATCATGAGAACCCTGGAGACTGGGGTCAAAAGGTGAAGAGGAGAAGACTGGAGTCTAGTTATTAGAATCAGGGTGTAGAGTTAAGAAAAATGAAGCAGGGCCTCCCCGGTGGCGCAGCGGTTGAGCGCTGGGTTACGAAGCTGCCTGCGGCCTCTGCGGCACCAGTTCGATCCCTGGCTGCTCCCCGGCCACTGGAGGAGGGTCCCACATGGCGCGCAGACCTCTCCTGCCGCCCGCTGCTCCCCTCAGCAGTGTCCTTCGGTCCATCTGCCTGCTCTGCTCCCCGCTCTGGCTCTGGTGAATTCTCTCACCCTCCCGCGCTTCTGACTGTACCCAGTGCTTGTATAAACAAAAAACAAACAAACAAATAATAAAAAAAAATAATGCCTCTGTAAAACATGCCTCTGTAAAAAAAAGAAAGAAAGAAAAAAAAAGAAAAGAAAAATGAAGCAAAAAATAGCTGACAACAAATGCCACTAGTTTGTATAATGTCTTCTTGACGTAAGCAGATTATGACGTAAGCGCACTCACGGACGTGTGCACACACATGTCACATAATTCAGAGTGTTTTTTCCTCTAAGCTGTTGATGGCTCGGTGTGCAGGTGAGGCTACCTCGGTCTCAAACTGGAAGCGAGGCAGGCCAACTTGCACTGTGCCAGGCAGCAACCCGGCTCCTCCCCTTCTCGCCCTCAATCAAAGGCAGCTAGACCTCCCTGTGTGTGATCACAAAAACCCTCGCTGGAAGTAAGGAGGAATGGCCTTTGTAAGTGGACTGAAAAGAAGACGTGGAGGTGCTTCCATCCTCCCCTCCTGCCCTGCTTTTGCTGGGGAAGTCTTATTAGGTTGTTACAGTCTCAGCAGATAAATCTGAAAATTCATTTTTATTTATATGTGTTTGCTCGGCATTTCCTGTGATAGACTTTGGTTGTAAAGAGAGTTATAATGCTGTTTCTGCAGGCTGTTTTTACGGCGCTGTATCTGTGTTATTTCAGAAAGGCCCACTGAGACCTGATTCTGAAAGGTCTTGTTGTTGCAGAGAGGTCTGCTCCTTGTTAGCTGCAGCCCAGAGAGTTCTTGATTGATGTCTAGAGCTGATAGAGGAACCCAGAGTGGTCAGGCAGGAACACAGCGTGGCTGGAGCTCAGCCTGTTCACCTCCACACACCCAGTGTCTTGGAGTTACACATTCATTCATTCCTTTAGTATAAGTAAGGAGATGAATCTCACCCTCCAGATAGTATATATCTTTGTGTATACACACATTTGTGTATCTTATCTATCCTTTCTTGTGGTCCAAATTGCCCTAAGTATATGGACATGTAGAAGGGAAACCAAAAGCCTGTTCTCTTAGAGCGCACATGATTATGGGAGTTGGGAGTAGAATAATACGCTCATAAACATTTATATCAGTTATTCAATAAATGTTATCATTTCAAAGAAAGATGATTGCACTGCAGAAAAATAAAGCAGCTAGTGGCTTCAAGAGGGAGAGGACAGCAGGAGGCAGGAAGCTGCTTTAAACAGGGTGGGCAGAGTAGGCTTGTAAGTTGCCGAAATTTCTGTCAAAATCTGTGAACTAAGGGAGTAAGCCATGCAACGAAGTGGAGGAGAGAGAACATCATGTCAAAGGTCCTGGTGTGGAACTAGGCCTAACACTTCTGGGTTTGAGCAGCCAGCTACTGTGGCCAGAGTGTGGAGATGGGTGGTGGCAAGCGGTCAGGAAGGGGTAAGATTATTTAAGGGGATAAAACACATTTATAGATTTTTAGTCTTATAATGCAAGTATTCTGAGCAGGGCAAAAGCATGTAAAGATATATAATTTTAAAGAATGTTCTGGAACTTTGTTATAAAGTGGGGGTGACGACAGGGAGCCAACGCAAAGATGATGGCACTGATGCAGGTGAGAGACGATACGGCATAAGTGGAAGGTCTAGTTGCTAGTTTGCATGTGGGGTGTATGTAAATATAGGGAGTGGCAGTGAGGATAATTCTTAGCTTGTTTTCTGAGCTGCCTGGGTGAGGTGTCACATGCAGGTTTGGAAATATTGGAAAGTCCTGGATTGGATAGGAAAGCTAACTCCAAGCCTTATATCTGTGGTGTCTAAGGACACAGTTGAGCAAGGTCATTTAGGGGATGACAAAAGTGGGGCCAGGACTGAGCTCTGGGGTCTTCCAGCATGTGGGGGCCAGGAAGGAGACTGTAAAAGAATTTCCAGTGAGGTAGACCGACAGCTGGGAGTCTTCTGGAAACCAGCTGATGGGAGTGTGTCCGTGTGTCAAAATCTGCTGCGGATCAAGTCAAATGGAATGGGGGGGTTCAGTCAGCAGATATGGCACCGTCACTGATACTGCTAAGGCCATGTTAGCGACACACCGGCGTGACCACCTCGGGGGGGAGGTCAGGTGAGGAGTAGGAACAGTGGGCACAGCAATTCCTTCAAATGTGTGTCTAGGAGCTCAAAGTCTATAATAGCAGGGAAACCTTCTTGTAGTAGATTATCTTTTTTTTTTTTTTTTTTTTTTTTTTTTTTTGGTTGAGGATAATTAAACTCATCCTACTAACACCATCATGTAAGGGTTGATAGTTCAACCTATTAGGTTTGGGGGACACAAACATTCTTCACATGAACCAAGGGTGAATTTTTGCCCCATATATCCAATTCACCCTAATGATCACTTATGGGTTGATTGACCTCACTTAACAATAACAAGTCAGGGTGGATACTTCTGGAGTTTTTAAAATTCCTTTAATAGAATTCTGTCAGTCCTCTCCTCTCCTTTCTCTCTCCCTCTCTTCTCTGTCTCTCCACTCTTCACACACCCCCAGCACATGCACACACACATACACACACAAATACAAATAGGGTAGTGACCTCTTTGATAAGCACCTACCATAACTTCATGTCCCAGGAATGGAGCCCTCATAATTAGCAGGTAAAAGCTGATCCTTGGGGAGCTCTGACTCCCCAACACTGCATGTGGGTAAGCTGGCCCTAATGTTCCTCATGGTACACTGTGCCAACAGCTCATGGATCAAGTGCTCCCCGAGCAGTAGTATTCCCTGACATGATGGATCATTATAGTTTCATTATAGTCTTTTGAGTCAATGATGTGGGAAGAATGGGCTATCATTTTTAGCCCATTGGGAAAAGAGCTATTTTTTCTCCCCAATGGAACCACCTGCCATTTTACCCATGTCCGCCATTTTAGAGTTTCTCCCTAAGACTCTCATACCTGTATTGGGCTTTAATACCCAAAGAATCACGCTTTAAACTATTTATTAATGACATAACATCACCTGAGCATTTTCTAGTACTTCCATGGTATGGAAAGGAACACTGAACAGGTAAATCAGAATCATTGGTAGCTGTGAAGGTTTTCATAAAGTAGGCATTGAGAAATGCTTGGCAGTGAAACTGTCTCTGTGTTCATTTTAACACAATTCTAGTAGATTCTTAGGATCATGAAAGTTCTGGAAACAGTATCAGGTTGTATGTGGATGCTGGGATCAGACTGCCTGTATAAATATCAGTTATGTAACTTTAGGCAAATTGTTTAACCTTTTAAAATCTCATTTCCTTCATCTGTAAATTTGGGATGATTAAAGTGAATATCTCACGGGCTTGTTCAAAAGACCAAGGTTAACCAATCTATGTAAAATGCTAAGTACAGTCACTACTGGAGCTCTGTGAGGAGCCTGTAAAAGCTGGCCATAAAGATGTAACATTAACAGTATAAATGCCTCTCTTTTCATGCAACCTTCATTCATATGTGTAGGATGACTTTGAAGCTGAATTTCTCATGCAATGATGACTTGCTCTTCTTTAATTATTGTGTAATATTATTTGAATCATTGACAGATGTTGAGTATGGTTTAGAGTGGTATTTAATCTTGGAGAAAGTTCACAGCCATCATCCCATTTTCAGATAAAAGTCCATATGCACCATATCAAGCTATTTGTACAACTTGGGGAGGGGTGTGCAAAGCTCCTGAGTCCTTGACTTATTAGCTCTGTAAAGATATTTTAGAAACCAATTAATCTCCCACATAATTTTAAAGTTAAAAAATGTGAAAGCTAAGATGATTGGAAGATTATTGGTTCTGTGGTCAACAGAGTATTGGTCCCTCAAAGATGGTCACATTTAGTCCTCAGAAGCTGTAAGTGTATCACTTCCATGACAAAAATGACTTTGCAGATGGACCTGGATTTTGGAGATTGTCCTACACTCTCTGGGCGGATACAACATCTGGGTATTTAAACATAAAGAAGCCTTGTCTGCTGCACTTGGAAGGAGAGGGAGATGTTAGCAGTGAAGAGTATGACACAGAGGTGGTGTTACTGAATTAAAAGCAGGGGGAGGGGACTACTAACCAAGGAAGGCAGATGACCTCTAAAAGGCAAAGGAACAACCCCCCCCCCAGGACATCTAGAAATGAAGCCAATCTGGCACTCTCACCTTACCCCAGTAAGACCTGTGTCAGAGGTGTGGCCAACCAAGCTGTAAGATAATGACTGTGTATCATCGTAAGTCACTGAACATATGGCATTGTGTTATAGCAACAACAGAGAAATTAGTTTCTTTAGGAAAAAGAATGAGATTTTGGTATGAAATGCTTATTAAAAATCACATCTAGGAAAGGAATAGAGAAGAAGAAGCAGGATCAGGTAGAAGGAGAAGTTAAACAGCAACTCTTCATCAAATCCATGGAGGAACTCTCCCATTTTTTATCTTTAAAGTCATGCGGGAGATTAATTGATTTCTAAAATATCTTTACAGAGTTGTCTGTCAGAGGAGAAACTTAGAAGAGGCAAGTTTGAGAAGCATATCCACACCAACCATTCGATCCCAGCCTTGATAGGCATTCATTACCATTCTCCTCTATTAATTCTAGATTCTTTACTCATCTCCCACCTTCACTTGAGGGAATCCCTAGTAGCACAATCTGGACCCTCATCACAAACCCTTGGTCATCATCCCTCAGCAGATTGGGATTGCCATGCCCATCCAGTTTGTCAAGGAACAACAAAAAAGCACTCAGATGGCTCACTGGGGTTCTCTCTACATTCCCCCCTGTGCCCGACACCGTCCTAATGACCCCTGTCCATTGCTGCTGCCAAGGTGGTGATTCCTTTTCTTGCCCTTACAAGAAGCCAGGCAAGCGTGGCAGTCATAGCTTTTAATTAAGTGAGGCTTATGCCGTGGCCCTGGTGGAGGGGTGCTCCCTTTGAGGTCCAGGACCTCCAATTCAGGAGCCAAGGATGGCAGGGAGGGGAAATACACAGTTACTGCACGATCACTGGGAGTGACGGTAAGTGATGTCCTCTTGCTCTGGTAGCTTAGCTCCTGAGCTCGGTGAACCCTTCCCATTGACAACAGCGCCACTCAGTGGACTGGGGTACGGAGTCGTGTGCACCCTGTGAGACTTGCCTCTGAGCTAATGTTTGGACTGTGTCTTCTGCCAGCTGTTCCAGAGCCCTACCAGCCAGCAGCTTGGTCAGAAAGCGATATGAACTATCACGTTGGATCCCTTGATCATGGCCCCTCCCACACCTCCTCTTCAAAAAGTGACTCCCCTACTCTGACTTTCTGTGGGAGTTCATGCGTCTGGATTAAGCACTCGATATTGGCAGTGATCAAGGGCAGAAAACATGCCTGGATACAAACTACATACGTATTCTTTTGAGAATTAACCTCTGGCCCTTCCAGGATGGCCCAATGCCATCAGCTTGACATCAAGTGGATATTTAGTCTTTTGAAAAATGGTGCCATCGTGGTGGCTCATTTTGGCCTCCATTGCTAACAAGTTGGGCATTTGGCAGTGGGGACAGCCTGATTAGCCTTCAGAAAGGAAGTCCATGCTGTTGGGTTCATGAGCATCTTCCATGTTTGCCATTGTAGGCATGTAGGTTAATTAATGTGCCCATGAGCCCGTCATCTGTTTGGATTCTATTTATCCCGTTTACTCTTTGTTTCTCTGCATCCCCATTCCAACCTCCCATGTTTGAGGTTTTGTTTGCTGGTATTCCCTGTGACATCATTGATTTACTATTAATGCCTCTTCTGTTCTTTAATGGTGGCTCTAGATCTTACTACATGCATGTTTACCCGAGCACATTCTTCTTTAAATAAAAATTTAAAAACTTAGGAAAAATCTAAGATTCTTATCTTGGCTATAGTTCCATTTTACCTTCTCCACCCCAGGGCCAGTACCAGGGAAAGGGGAGAGGCACCTGGGAAACAATATGCCCCTGAAGGTGAGTGCTTCTTTAATTTTGTGTCCTTGGTGGGCCCCTGTCTCTCCCATGTCTCAGCCTTCCTCCCACACTGATTTTTGAATAGGTTAAGCTCTGACCTCACAATATATCACCGATAGGATAACTTTAAGTCACTAATCTTTAAAGAAATTACATGAATACATATCTGCCTTTGCGTGTGTGTGGTGTTTGTATGCGTGCATGCATTTGTATTGGGTGTGCACATGCATATGTGCACATAAGTAGTGTCTATGTGTGTATGTGTGTGTGGTGTGTCTGTGTGTTTTTATGCATGTCTATATGTGTTGCATGTGTGTAGTAAAAGGCACATTGTCCCTTTTGTTATTTTATTTTGTTCTGCTGATCTGCCTTTTATATGAAATCTTTCTGCATTCTTGCAGTTGAGGTCAGCTGTAGACAAATTTCTCCCCTTTTGTCTATCTGAAAATGTCTTCACTTTGCATTCCTTTTTGAAGAGTAATTTTGCTATATAAATAATTCTAGGTTGACCTTTTGATTTTCTTCAGCACTCTAAAGACATTGCAATTTGATTATGAGGTGCATATGTGTGATTTCCTTTGTCCTTATCTTGCTTGAGATTTGCTGAGCTTCATGGTTCATGGTTCTGTGAGTTCATATATTTCAAAAATTTTGGAAATTTATTGGAAACATTCCCATTCTCTTCCTCTGTCTTTCTGGTAGCCCAATTATGTGTGTCATGTCATTAATATTTTCCCACAACTATTATTGGATGTTAGAGTTCATTTTTATTAAATGTCCCTTTTTTCTTTGTGCTTTCGCCTGGCTGATGTTTACTGTCTTCAGACCCAGCGGTCCTCTCCTTTGAGCTACCCAGGCTGCCTTGAAGCAAAGGAGATAATATTACATTGTTGTTTTTATTTCCAGCATTTCATTTGATTGTTTTATTAGTTGCACCTCTATGCTAAAATTCTTCTTCTATTAACACAAGCCATCTTTTCCTACTATATGTTTACTATGTTTCTCATACTTATTTTGAAGTTAAAATGTGCTAATTTCAGCATGAGGGCCAACATCAAAGCTACTTTGGTTGACTAATTTTTCTCTTGATCACGAGTCTCATTTTCTTGCTTTTTTCAAATGCTCCTAACTTTTAACCACATGCCACATTTTGTGTTAAAGTGCAGTGCAGAAAGAGGTAGGTATTATTTACCCCACAGAGGACAGACCCCACCTCCCATCTGGGAAAAATGAGCTAAGGACCCAGTGTCTCAAGAGTGGCAGAGGAAAGCCAAGAGGAAGACCTCGCTGTTCTCCAGAAAAATAAGAGTGGCAGCTGAAGCCAGCGTTAGCAGTAGAGAGGACAATGGGCAAAAGTGAGATTAAGTTAGAGCAAGAAATGAGAGGGCACTGAGTAAAAAGCTGCTTTGGGACAGAATGGATGTGCCAAGTGAGAAGGATGAAAAGACTGAGAAAGGCTGGCCTTGGGGTTTACCAGCTGTCTCTGTCTCTTCAGAGATGATCACCCAGCCAACATCTGACGCTAATTCTCTTCAAGGTCCAAACACAGAAGATGACACTCAGTAAGTCCACAAAAGGGGCCCACTGCATAGCTCAGATTCACCCTGGAAGACACATCTTTCTCTACCTACTGCTCCCTGTCCTCTCCTTGACCGTTTGCGTCTATCAGTAGAATGTTAGAGGTAAGAGATGTAAGAGAGGAAAATTCTTTCAGAGGCAACAGAGACAGTGGAGCTACTGATTTTAATATCCTGTCAAGAGCTGCCCCCTGTGACATTGTATGAATAGCTTTCCTTAGTTTACTGACCTTGATGAACCCTCACCTAGAGTTTTGAGACATCTAAATACTTAAAACCCCTTTGCACACCATAATCCTGCCCAGTAAGTAGCAAACAGTTCTCAGTATTTTCTTTGCTCAAATGGCATTATACATCTCTGGACTCACAGATCATAATTCTGTAATGATTTGCTACCTATGCGTGACAGGAAGGGAGATTAGCACCTAAAGGAATTGACAAAAACGCTTACGGAGAGGCATATTCATTCTTAGTAAGACAGGATATTCAGGCTGTGATGTTCATTGGCTGCAGATGAGAGGAGCATGTAGAAATGGGGTCTGGGGTTATTGAGTCATGCCCTCAGCTCCCGACTACTGACTTCTTAGATTGGCTCTCTGTGCCTGCCTCAGGCTGCAGGCTTTCCCCTGCTCGTCCTTTCTCCCACTACTAGCAAATCACCCAAAAGGAAGCAGTTTCTAGTCCCAGGACAAAATTCCTCTAAAATCAGCAAAGACATCTTGACGGAACTGTCACATCTCTGACAATGAGCAGCAACCTTCTCAAAGATTTTCCTTAGAAGACAGTATCTTCGGGGCTCTAGCTTCTGACTGTCTCTTCTTTCTCGCTGCTCTTGGGGGGCAGTGTTGTTTCTTTGATGCTCTGGACTGTGAGTGGATGTTTGGTATTAACCACTCATAGAGTTGAAACAATTCAGATGAGAGTTTACCAAAGACATGGCGTAAGCCGAAATGGCAGACTCAATCTGACGTTCAAGGTTGGGTTTGCTTTTGGGACTCATGGGCTGGATTTCCTCATCAGCAGGCTCCTCCTGACTGGGTGCCATGTTAACTTGCTCACCCCAGAGCTAAGTCCTCACGTCTGCACCTACAAGTGGGAGGCAACAAGCCACAGAGGGAGGCAGGATCTGGTTCTTGTCTGTGAAGGATTTCTTTCTGAGGCCAGGATTCTTTATTTGTTTTAATAAAATTTTGATTTACATACTTTATAGATTTCAGTACAGCTTCACATCCCTCACCCACCACCAAAGTTCCAGTGCCCTTCACACTATTAAACTGATCCTTCACCCTTTCCTCCAGCCCCCTGACCTTCCCCCTCTGGTAACCACCATATTTTTCAGAGTCTAAGATCTATCAATTTGTTTGGTTTGGATACCTACATGTCAGGGAATAGCCTGGCAATTGTCTCTCACTTTCAGAGTTATTTCACTTAGCATCATCCCCTGAGTTCCATCAATGTTGGTGCAAAAGTCAAGGTTTTTTAAAAGGTAGAGTAAGTAGTTCATTGAGTTATAGACAATGACATTTTCTACCCAGTCTGTTAGTGGGCAGTTAGGTCATTCACCAGTCTTAGCTCTTGTGATCCACGCTCTATCAACACAGGAGTGCAAGTGTCTTCTTGAATTACTGCTTTCACATTCTTTAAGTAAATACTCAGGAGTGGGATTGCTGGGTCATATCAATTTTTAGTTTTTTAAGAAATCTCCATACTATTTGCCATGAAGGCTACACCAATTTATGCTGCCATCAATAGTAGAAGAGAGTTTCCTTCTCAACACACACTTGTCGACACCTGTTGTTTCCAGTCTTTTTGCTGTCAGCCATTCTTAAGGTGAGTTGATATCTCATTTTGGTTTTGATGTACATTTCCCTATAATAACTGGAGGTGAGCATCTTTTCATGTGCCTTTGGCCCTTGGCATGTCTTCTTTGGAGTAGTATCTTTTGAAATCATCTGCAAGTTTTTTGATTGGAGTGTTAGTTTTTTGTTGTGAGTTGAATGAGTTCTTTACATATTTTGGATATTAATCCCTTGTCAGATGTTTGATGTGCAAATATCTTCTCCCATTGAGAGGGTTGCCTTTTTATAATTGTCGTGGTTTCTTTCACTATACAACAGCTTTTCAATCTGCTATACCGCCACTTACTTATTTTTACTCTTGTTTCCTTTGCTGTTGGACTTGAGTCCCCAACTGCTGTTGATGTGTGGGAGGGCATTACTTTTGTTTTCTTTCTATGTGTGTTGTGGTCTCAGATCTATGTCCAAGCCTTTAATCCATTTTGAGTTCATTTGTGTGTAGGCTATTAAATAATGATTGCATATATATATATATATATATATATATTTATATATGTGTGTGTGTGTGTGTGTGTGTGAATATCCAGGTTTCTCAACAAATCTGTTAAAGAAACTTTCCTCATTCAGAGCCAGTGGCCAGAAGCTCAGGTGGCAGTCTGGGCTTTTCACTATCAGCTAAAGTCTATGTGGGGGCAAGGGAGGGACTTGTAGGACTGAGCACTTGATCTGTGGAATATGATGTAACCCCCAGGTAGGTAGTGTCATAATTGAGTTGGATTGCAGGAAACCCAGCTGGTGTCCTGAGAATTGTTGTGGGGAACCCACACATACATGAAAAATGAGTCTCAGAACATCTATTGAACATCAAACCAAAAACCTTCTGCCACCAGTTTGAAGAGACAAAAAGGCCTGAAACAACACATTTCCATTTCAAAGAGAAGATAGATAATGTATTGTTTGAACACCTATTCAGTGCTACCTACAGAGTAAAATACTTTGTACACATCTACACCAATTCTCCCAACAATTTTGTGAGTCTCAATTTGAAGGAAAAAAAAAAAAATCACATGTACAGCAGACTCTATGTGTCTGCCTAGGAAATTATGTCTGTCTCTTGAAAGCAAGAACCATAATTCCCTTTGAGTAAATGACTTTCTCCACATCCATGGGATTCTTCAAGAATTCCTCCAATCCCCCTGTCTAGGGATGGACATATGGCCAAGAACTTGGAATCATAGTGAGCGGTTTGATACGGCACATCAGACCCAAATTGATTATATCAGAGTGAATCCAGAAAATGTGTTTTTGAGCAAGTCAGAGAGAGCGATTTTATCCTTGCGGGACTCTCAGCAAAGAGACAATGTAACATGGCCCTACCACAAGCCACCACCTGAGAAGCATTGCTGGAGAAAAATAATGCAAACAGAGGCCTGCGAGCCAGTGATGGAGGAAGCGCATATGTGTGAGTGTGAACACAGCTGCTCTTGAAACCCTCGTCCACTGGACATCTCAGCTGTGCGACCCTGGGAAACTTTTATTTATTTTTACTTTGTTTTCCCCCAAGCCATTTGGGTTGAATTTGTCTCACTCAAAATCTGCAACCACAAAGCGTTTGCAGGGGAGCTTGAGGACGGCCCTCAAGGTTAAATCTCTTGCCCAAGATCACAGTGAGGGTAGGACAGATTAGTTTGACTCAGGTCCATGTTCTGTCCGTACCTGAACACGCCAGTGACGAGGAGAATTCATGAAGACATGAAGGATTAATAACACCAATAAACTATGGTGAGTGAATGTCCTTTGGCAGTTTTTATTGTGCTGTAGTGTCCCTGGTGATACAATTAAACTTGTCTTTCTCTGTGTCAGGGACACCTTCCTAAGGACAAAGGCTGTGTTATCAATAGCCTCGGAAGCCAGTCCCATTACTCACGGTTTTTGTAACTGCTGGATTTCAAGATGGGCAAGCCTATTCAAGGGCATTTTTTTTTTAAAGAAAACTATTTGAATCACCCCAAGGAGAAACAAAGTTTCTATCACAGACTCACATGCTCCCTTATTTTTGTGTCTAATTTTGTTTTGAATCCCCAATATTCAGTATGGTGACTGGCATATAGAAAGTCTCAGAAAATACTGGTTAAATAGATGCACGGATTAATTTATTCTACTAGGGCCATAACCTCCAAGCACCTGTTTCTCAGCTGTTTGCTATCAATTTCCTGTGTTCAGATAGTCCCAACTCCTTTCACTGATAAATGGCTCCATTGTCCCCTCAATTGTAGATCAAAGGACATCTGTCTTATAACAAAGTCCAGTTTCTTAATAGCCCAGGTTTTTGTTACACTCACAAGAGCTAGTGTGGCTCACTCCCTAGACTCTCTGGATAACAATAAGCTCTCCCTTCATCATGCAAACAGGGCAGCAGCCTTAATAAATAAATAATGACCTGAAAGCAAGGTAATTTGAAACTATTTCATAGCTGATGAGCCATTCTACCTCCCTCTCATCAATGCATCTAAAACAGGCTCTCCCATCACCTTGTTCAACCTCCATCATAAAATTAATTACCTCTGGATAGACCCCATTTAATTGCTCATAAAATTGATCTTACTTTTCAGGTTTTATGGCAATGAGTATGTCATCAACAAAAGTGCCTAGAATAAATGGGATGATGATTATCTACCTTAAAATGAAGTAAAATAAACCCAGAATGGATGTGGGGACCTCTTGCACTTTGCTCTCCTTCTGCTGATTTGCACGCTTATGAACAATTGCATCACACCCTGCAGGTCTCTGATGGGAAGCTGCTTTATTGTCAAAATTTTTTCAGCTAGAAAATTCAAGCTAGTTCAGCTTAAGAAATGCAACGTTGCTGTTGGATGGCGAGAACGTGCATTTGGACTTGGGAAAACCTAAATGGTAATCTTGCTTCTTCCATATCATAACCCCCTGCCTCAGAAAAATTACCTTCTTGAATCTATTTCAAGCAAACTAAGCTGTAGTTAGGTTTAAATGAGATGAATATAAAGCACCCAATAAATGTTCAAAGAAGACATTTAATCAGCGTTACATGCTACTACATCACCACCATTGCTTCTAATAAACCAACCAGGAAGCCAACATGCTTGATAAAGAGGATGCTAGAAAGCATGATAGAAAGGGTGGGTTTTCTGTAGATAAGAGTTTGGAATTTTTTTTAAGTCATCATATATCTAAAATCGAGGTAACACTGGTTTACAATATCATCTAGGCTCTAACTGTGATTTCCAATCTCTATACCCTTAGGAGAGTTGCTGGACCTGCCTCGTTACCTGCATCCTCGGATGTAAACGGGTATGTTAGCACTTACCTTATGCATCAGATGAGACGGTGGGGTGAGGGCAAGCCGGGGACAGTGTTTACCATAGAGCCCCCATAGTTCCCACCCCTCTGGCCTCAGCACCCCTACATTCCCTCCTGCTCCTGTTCTGAGCAGCGGGGTGAGGGCTCCTGAACAGCAACGGGACTTCACTAAATTGGCTGAGGAGCGCAAGGACAGTTTTTAAGCCGTGAAAGTATCACTGATGCTCAGTCTAGCAGTGCTCGGGTCTCTGATGGCTCCTCTTCTTCCTCAGGCGAGGACTGGCCCAGGAGGCAGGCCTGGCCAAGGGACCAAGTGACTGGCCCAGTGCCCACCTCTTCTGTCCTCTCCTCCAGAGCCTCACTCCCTGTTACTCAGCTCTTCAAGCCACACGTTTCAGTGCGAGGGACTTATTTCTGCCCTCTGGGATGTCTCAGCATGGAAATTTTGCCCACGTGGTTCCATCTGACTAAAACAGCCACACCGTGTTCCACTCCGATGTCCTTCACTTAAATATTCCTGTTCTCCCTCTGACTCTGAAGCATGTGCCATTTCTCCTTGAAGTCTCCTCCGCACCCCAAATCTAGGTGTGGTTCTGTTAGATGCCCTTCTGTCCAGCCTGCAGTTTCCTCCTGTCATGCACACGACATGCCCGTTTGTCAAGGCTGAATTCACAACCAACAGAGGGAACATAACTGCCTGTTCTCATCATGTCCGTAGTTCTGTGTGGTCTCTCTGTGAAGACCTGCATGCCAGTATGTGATATCCACAGCCAGAGACCCGCTGAGGGGCCCCTCACCCAGAGTCCCGAGGGCAGGACCCACCAGATGAGCCACCAGGCTAAGTCAAGAACTGAGTCCAGGAAAACAGCTCCGCTAAAGAAGCAGAGTAACTAACGTGAGGTTGAGCAGAAAAACTCAGGGAAAGTGGCCTGGAGAAAGGACATCCAGAGGCCATCAAGCCCTCCTACCTGGGTTACGGAGTTTGTTGAGTGACTGTCTAGGGCAGATTGGCGGGTTTTAGTGGCTTTACATAAAGGGTCTTGAGCAAAGGGCTGAGGGAGAAAGAAAAATCCCTTGGCATTTCCTATGTTCTTTCACAGGAAGAACATCAGCCCAATATATTTCATCAGTGTCCTTTATTATACAAGAAGGAGGGTTCTATGATGCATGAGTTCGAAAACACTGGGTTAAGTCAAGTTAACTACAGTCTTACCACACCTCTCTGCATCCTTATAATGGCAACATGCATTTCACAGTTCAGACCATTTACCAAACTACATAACCATGCGATACTTTTTTTCCCTCAAGGACAATGTCATTGATTCTGTGTCCTACGAGACATTGGTTTAGAAAACACAGCTTTCTACTCGTCTCAGCGCCTTGTATTATTTTTATGGCTTCTATTATCTCATGTATTTATTTATAGCCTGCCTTGTTTCTGGAGAGATTCAAAGCAATCAGTACACTAATGATCATTCACGTTTTGTTTTGTTTTGGGCTTTTTACAGAAACTGTTTTGCTTGACCTGGAATTAAAATCATCCTTCATGAATTCTATGGGATGAATCAGAAATTATCACTCCCCTCTAGCAAAAAGAGCTTTCTGGAGTGTCAGGGAGCTCCCTTGTGAAGGCGGGAAGGTGACGGAGGGCTTCTGGAGTCCACTCTGGGGGGGGGGGGCTGTGATGTGAAGCTGCATCGCCCTTGGAGCCTCATAGGACTGACCAGGAGAACAGACAGGACGTGGGAGATGTTGGCTCTTAGTTCCACTTGGGTTTAGCACCCCAACTTTGAAAGGCTTGCTAAACCTTGTGTGGGCCAAATTTATTGTTTACAAAACTTAAAGTAACATCTGCATCAAAAGGTTGTTGAGAAGGTTCCATGAAGTAAAGTTTATGGCACAGAGAACCCAGTGAGTGCAGGGCACGATGATGCTGACACGGGTCCTGACATACTTTCATCTGGGAGACTTTCAAGAGCCATATTATGGTTCTTCTCTAGACAATTTCCTTTTCCTCCTGAAAATTTTTTTTCCATATCTTAAAATAAAGTTTTCACCTTTCAGGTTCCCCTAAAACCTTAGGAGAAGGAATACTTTTTGAGTGTATCTGTTCTCCTAAAGAAGTGACCACACTTCTCCAACTGAGGCAAGCTCAGTGCAGGAGGAGAGATTTAGTGAAGCTGCTCCAGGGAGATTGGGATGGCACTGCAGGGGGGAGACAGCTGGGAAGGACACCCCAGTGCATGTTGTGTCTGGTTGACGTGGACTTGAGGAAACTGACCCAGCATCTCATACCTTTCTGCAAGTCACTTACTGTTCCCCAAGTCTGGGCTTGTTGGGACTATCATTTGTGTCTTTGTAGATCCTAAGCCCCTATATACTTCCCTTTCCAGAGAGTCAGAGTCGTAGAACTCAGGCAACTTTTATATTTTTAATCTTAAAATACCAACAATCTGATTGCCCTCTACCCAAAATATAGAATTCATCTACAGCCCTGGAAGGGTAGAATCCCTGTGTGTTCATCAGAAGGTCCCATGCCTACTGTCTGATATGATTTTCTTTCAGTGACTCAAAGATGATTTCCCCTTTAGAAACTGAAATGATTTTCTGACATTTCTCCTTCAAGAGCTGAAAAATCAAAAACACAAAGTCCTCCACAAATAATGCTTTCTTGTCAAATATAAGGATGTTTGTTGAAAAGCCTATCTTTTCCCCCATTTGTGTTCTTGGCTACCTTGTTGCAGATCAGTTGACTATATATATACATATTTCTGGGTTCTCTATTCTGTTATATTGGTTTATAGATCTGCTTTTGTACCAGTATCATACTGATTGAATTTCTGTCACCTTGTAATATATTTTGCAATCAGAGAGGATGATGCCTACAGTTTTCTTCTTTCTCAAGATCAAATGGGCCTTATGGGTCTTGTGTGATTATAGACACATTTTTGGATTTTTTCCTGTTTATGTAAAGAATGTCATTGGCATTTTGATAGAGAATGCATTGAGTCAATAGATTTATTTGCAAAATATGGGCATTTTAGCAATATTAATTCTTCAAATCCATGTGTCTGTTTTAATTTCTATTGTCAGTGTTTTATAAAACATAAGGGCATAAATCTTTTACCTTCTTAAATTTATTTTTTAAATATTTTATTCTTTTTATGCTATTATAAATAAGATTGTTTTCTTAATTTGAATTTTGGCAGTTCTTTTTTTTATTAAAACATAGAAATAACTCCTGTTCATTGATTTTGCATTCTGCAACAATGTTGAATTAGTGTATTACTTGTATCATTTTTTTTTGTAAAATTCTTAAGCTTTTTGATGTGTAAGTTCAAATTGGATATCCCCATGCAAAATATTAAAACTGGACTCCTAATATATACAATTCACAAAAATCAATTCAGAAATGGGTCAAAGCCTTAAGTGTAAAGCCTAAAACTGTACAATTATTCAAAGATAAAATAAGCAGGAAATTTCTGGACATCAACCTTGGCAATGCTCTCTTGGACTTGGCAATGAAAAGCGTAGACAGCAAACCAAAAATAGTCAAATGAGACTACATCAAACTGAAAACCAACAAAAAACCTTCTATATAACAAAGAAAACAATCAAAAGAGGGGGAAATGCATCAGATGGATTGTAAGAAAATATTTGTAAAGCATCTATCTAATTACAGGTGAATAACCAAGTGCATCATGCACTTTAAAATATGTTAAAATGATAGATTTCACATTAAGTCTTCTTACCAAAGTGTGTAAGTATCACCTATAATTCAACATAAAAAATAACTCAATTAAAAAATTGATTTCTCCAAACAAGACATACAAATGGCTAGCAGGTACATGAAAAGATGTTCACTATCCCTAATCATCAGATAAATGCAGATGAGCTATCATCTCACACCTGTTAGGGTGGATATTTTCAAGAAAGATAAGTGCTGGGAAAAATGTAAAGAAATTGGGATTCTTACACAGTATCAGTAAGACTGTAGGTGGGACAGCCGCTCTGGAAACCAGTTTAGAAATACCTCAAAAAATTAAAACTAAAACTTCCCTATGATCCAGTAATCCTGCTTCCTGTTACATATCCAAAATCATCGATTCAGGATCTCAAAGAGACATCTGTGTTTCCGTGTTCATAGCAGCAGTATTCAACACAACTAAGACATGGAAACAACTCAATAGCCCATGATAATATGAATGGAAGAGGAAAATGTGGAATGTTCATGCAATGGCATGATATTCAGCCTTACAAGAGAAAGGAATCCTGTCATTTATGACAACATGAATGAGCCTAGGGGACATTATGCTAAATAAAACAAGTCAGTCACAGAAGGAAAAATACTGTGTGATTGAACTTATATGAGAATCTAAAATAGTCAAACTCACGGAAGCAGAGAATAGAATGGTGGTTGCGGTGCCTGGGGAGTGATAAATGGAAGTGATTTTTCCGTGATTGCAAAGTTTCTGTTACACAAGATTAATAAGTTGAGGAGATCAGTTGTACAACATAATACCAAGAGATGCTAATATGGTATTAAGCACTTTAAAATAAGTTCAAGAGGATCAGCTTCATAGCAAGTCTTTGCAAAATAAAGCAAAAACAAAAATCCACATAAGACATAGGTGACAGGTGTATTACCTTGGTTGTTGTGATGGTGTCATGGTGTGAGTCAATGCCCAGACTCATAGAGGTGGAATTGCTCTATATGTGTGATTTCTGTATATCAATTGTATTTTTACAAGGCTAAAGCTGCCTCAAAATATACTATTTGTCCTGATATAAAAACAGCATTCTCTGTTTCTTATTAGCGATATTGTCTGCCCACTATTTGAGTGCAACTATCAACCCAGGAAATAATGACTCTGCAAATCCCATCTTCTGCAGAATCTTCTGCATGAGCCCCTGTGGGAATGTGGTGCCATCTGTAAGACGCTGTAAGATGAAAAGAGGTCTCAGCAAAGCGTCTGG